CAGACCATAAACCTCTTATAAATATTTTTAATCCAAGTAAGCATCTACCACAAATGACTTCGCATCGTATTCAGCGTTGGGCCATCATTCTTATGGCATATCAATTCGATATTAAGTATCGTAATACATACGCACATGGTGCGAATGCACTCTCTCGTTTACCTGTAAGTACCGATATTCAATTTGATACATCCGAAGCATGCTACAATGTTACACACATACAATTACCAATAAATGCTAATATTATTCGTAAGCACACAGAACGAGACGAAATACTACGTAAGGTTAAACATTTTGTTAAATCAGGTTGGCTTACACAACTATCGCCAGGTGATAACGAAGTTAGACCATATTTTCATCGGAGATTAGCTTTAATTCTTCACGAAAATCTTCTCTGCTTACACGCAAACGTAAAACGTATTGTTATTCCAAAATCATTACAGCAAAATACTCTAGAACTCTTACATGATGGACATTGGGGAACCGTAAGAATGAAGCAATTAGCACGACATCACGTTTGGTGGCCAACCATCGATGACGACATAGTCAAAGTGACACGTCAATGTGAAATTTGTAAAGTTGGCAATCCAGCTCCTACACGTCAATACCTTAGTTGGCCAGAAGCGAAAGCACCATCGACTTCGCTGGCCCTATATTCGATTCTATGTGGCTTATATGCATAGACGCTTATTCGCAATTTCCATTCGTTACACAGTTATCTTCAACTACAACAGATAATACCATACATTCATTGAAATCAATTTTTGCCATTGAAGGTTTTCCCAATGCACTGGTTAGTGATAACGGACCTCAGCTAACATCCGACGCATTTCAACAATTTTGCAAGTTACATGGTATTACGCACATAACAACTGCACCATTTCATCCAGCATCTAACGGACTCGCAGAACGTTTTGTTCAAACATTTAAGACCGCAGTTCGAAAAAATATCAATGAAGGTCTATCTGTCAGATGCGCCGTAGTCAAATTTTTAGCTACTTATCGTTTTACCCCTAATTCCAATGGAGAAACACCTGCTGAACTTCTCCATGGTCGTTCAGTTCGTATCATGTTAACTCAACTTTTTGAGACACCAGCACAGTCAAAATCTAAGATCGTAGACAAATACAAATTTCAACCTATTGAACTAGTATACGCTAGGAACTTCGCGAAAGGAGAAAAGTGGATCAAAGGAATTATAATTCATCCGATTGGAAAAATGATGTTTATGGTAAAGTCAAACAGAGGTACCATAAGACGCCATATTAACCAACTCAAACCAAGATCAAATGCAGAAGGTAATAACAAAACACCCAGCATAATACTTCCAGATCAATGGATACCTGTACCTGAATCGACATCCATACATTCAGCAACGGTTATGTTGCAAGACAAGTTAAACATACAACCAGATATATCCACACAAGCACCTCATTTTAATGACCAAACCAACGCACCATCGCAAATAGAGGAAAACGTTGCAGAAGATCAGAATTCGAACAATCCGATTCGAAGAAGCAACCGATCGCGACAACAGGTTACTCGCTTCACAGCTCCTGATTTTAGAAATAAATAAAGTAGTCTATAATTAAGAGGGGGGATGTGATATGAACTTAAAAATGTACAACACTGGATTTCAGTGTTAATAGTTGTCAAACCTGTCAGTTTGTAAAACTTTGTAAACTTCCTTCTTCTGGATTGCGCTACCGTCGAGTAAAGACGTGCATATATATTCGGTATTGTATAATACTATATTTTAATACATCTGTAATTATAATGAATTATCACTAAATAAATACAAACACAAAAGTTTTTACGGTAAGAAAATTTCGAATAATTTCCAGGAAACCCCTAAAAACAGTCCTCCCTAAGAGAACGCCTGCACCAATCTCGATGAAATTTTCGGAGGTTATTCGTTGTGGATCGGGAAGGTTTAAAAATAAAAATACCTTATACTTTTCATGAGGAAAAGTCGGAAAATTGGATAATTCCAAAAAGTAACTCTTTTCCATGAACATTTTTTTTTTAATTTTTGTTTGTTTTGTTTTTCAATATTTTGATTTGTGAATTATTTGAATCGTTCAATTTGGGTCGCTTCCTTTTTTATTCCGCCTTTTTAAAAGAAGAATTATGAAAATTATTCACTGAAAACTTTACATATGTGTGTTTTATGCAAAGTGATTAATTGCAGATTGAAAATTGTTACAAAGGCACGAAGAGGTCGGTCGATCGTCACGATGTCATAGCACAACTTTTCAAACAACAGTTACGATGTTTGATGGTCCTGTTGGATGCTAGATATACTCTGTTGAGTGGCAAAAGAGAGGTTTGCCGCAGGTACACATTCTTCTTTGGATGGTGGTTACACCAGATCAAATTGATGAAATCATTTCTGCGGAAAGTGCTGATGCAGAGAAAGATCCAGTAATATTCGATGTGGTGAAAACCAATATGATTCATGAACTTTTGGAACATTACAATCTCTTTTCGGTTTGTATGGCTGACATTAAATGCAAAAAACACTATACACCTGCTTTTCTTTCGGAAACACAAACTAGAAATGATGGATATCCACTCTATTGGCGGAGCTCACCAGACGACAATGGCAGAACACACAGCATTTAATTTAGAAGAATGAATATCGATGTTTACAACTCATGGATCGTACTATATTCACCACTAATTCATATTCAAAACTCATATTAATGTTGAGTATTGCAGTTTGGTGTAATCGATAAAATATAATACGTTTGTAAGTACGTCACTAAAGAAAGCAACATGGCGGTTATTGGTCTTGAACGAGATGAGATCAGCAAGTATCAAATGGGTCGATACGTCAACTGCAATAAAGCGCTTTGTGGGATATTTACTTTTGCAATTCATGAACATTTTCCGACTGTTGTGCGTCTCGCAGTTAATTTGGAGAATGAGAGAGTGAGAGGGAGAGTATATTTCAACTCAGAGAATACAGTACAGCCAATTAAAACACCGCCAGCAACAAAATTAAAATTGACGAGTTTTTTCTCAATTTTCGTCAGTGATCCGTTTGCTTGAACATTACTCTATTCGAAAATAATTCGATATTATACATGGAATGCATCGTCGAAGAAATAGTTGCGCAGGAAGCAAGGCCATCCAATAGATGGACATCCAGGTGTGTTAGCAACTAATACATTAGGACGAATTTACATAAACCACCCGAAAAACGACGATTGTTTCTACCTTTGGTGGCTATTGATTAATGTACGCGGTTCAACTTTATTGAGGTGAATTCCCTATCACAATCCTATAAAATGTTCGACATCGATCCTGCACCTTCCTATGTTTATACATTCTCTTGCTGAGCTAAGTCGCAACCCACACCGAACCGAACACCAAACAGACAAGACATAACAGAAAAACACATTTCGCTGCTTATACTTAGCCGCACCGCTATTTTTCATGGGCAAGATGTTATAACTAATCGTTTTGCACGAGTTATGCTTTTGCGATAGTATAGTATTTTGCTTAAAAATGAAATGTTTTATTTTTCTTCTTCTTTACTGGCGTAGACAGCGCTTACGCGATTATAGCCGAGTTAACAACAGCGCACCAGTCGTTTCTTCTTTTCGCTACGTGGCGTCAATTGGATATTACAAGTGAAGCCAGGTTCTTCTCCACTTGGTCCTTCCAACGGAGTGGAGGTCTTCCTCTTCCTCTGCTTCCCCCTGCGGGTACAGCGTCGAATACTTTCAGAGCTGGAGTGTTTTCGTCCATTCGAACAACATGACCTAGCCATGGCCAACGCGCAAAGGACCCTAAATCTTTCGCAGAACTTTCCTCTCGAAAACTCGCAACATCGACTCATCAGTTGTTGTCATCGGCCAAGCTTCTGCACCGTATAACAGGACGGAAATTATGAGTGATTTATAGAGTTTAGTTTTTGTTCGTCGAGAGAGGCTTCTCAAGTGCCTACTCAGTCCGAAGTAGCACCTGTTAGCAAGAGTTATCCTGCGTTGGATTTCCACGCACATATTGTTGGTGGTGTTTACGCTGGTTACACGATAGGCGAAATTATCTACGACTTCAAAGTTATGACTGTCAGCAGTGACATTGGTTAGTTGACTGTTGACGCGGATAGACTTGCGTGCGCATCGTTGTGATATTTTCAAAGTGATTTTCGGTGATTTTCTTTTTGCGATTTTCTTTTGTGCGGTTATTTGTTTACGCGTTTTAGCTGGCACCGTTATTGCCTGGCGCGTGTGCGTAACGGACCGTTGAAATTGTTTGTGCGTTCGTGTGGTAGTGACCGCGAGTGGTTTTGTGCGGGTACACAATTTTGTGCATTTTTGTGTGCTTACAGAGGTAAGTAATTTTAATATTACTTATCATTATACGAATAACGTGGTCATCCACGTTGTTGTTATTGGCGGAAGCTTTGCACGGTTCCAGTGCAGCTCCGTGTTGGTTGCACTCTTGCTGACTGGACTGCGTGCCAGTTGTTCTGTGCTGAGCATATGGTGTTTAGTTGGCTCAGTGTCAGGGGAGTCTGGACAGGATTGCCCAAAGGGTGCAAACGTCTGTCCAGCGTTGGAAATTGCGACTCCTGCGAGGACAAACGGTCGTAAAAGCGAACCGTTTAGCCCACGGTGCAATTCGGTTCAGCGCCACATTGGTCGACTCCGGACCGTTACGGAGACATTGTCCGTCCGGCGGCCAATTGAGTGGCCTTAATCCGACCGTTGGTTGGGGTTGTGGGCTGTGCCACTGCGAGCACGCCATAATCGACCGCTTGGGCGGTCGCTTTTATTGAGCGGGCCTTCGCGTGGGTCGCACTTTTTCAGCGCGTTCAGACGCACGCACCTGGAGAACAGCTGCTCCAGAATCTGTCTGGCCAAGAGCCTTCTGCTCTAGTGGTACGCCAGTGGATCAGCTCGACTGAACGGCTAGTCGGGAAGCGGGATGCCTCCTGGACGGAAGAGGAGGACGAAGACCCTCGCTGGAAGCGGAGATTCCGCCGCAGGTCAGGTGGACGCGTGAGCTAACCTTGAAGAGGAGGACTGTCAGGCGATTGAGGCGAAGGTTTCAACGCGCCCGAAGGTCCAATTCTGATAGACTGTCCCAGCTTAGGTATGAATTTAGTTGTGCGGATAGGGAGTATAAGGAGATGCTAGTTAAAGTTAAAGAGGAAGATTGGAGGAGTTTTGTGAGAGAAAATAGGAACGACCCCTGGGGTCAGGACTATAGGATCTGCCGGGGTCGTAGAARGGAGGATGTCACCTCTCTTCGCGTCGGTGACACTCTGTTATCGTCGTGGAGAGAGTATGCGGGGGTTTTGTTAGGTGCGTTCTTTCCTAGGTCGGAAGTGCAGGTACCTCAAGCACAAGAGGTGCCTGTTCCTCCATTAGATGATGGGGAGCTGGGGTGCGCCTTTGGCATGGTTAGGTCTGAACGGTCCCCGGGATTTGATGGATTGAACGGAGAGATGTGTAAAAGCTTGTGGAAGTTCATTCCGGAATACCTGGAGGCCAACGGATGTCCTTAGCATATTTGTTGACTTCAAGGGGGCGTTTGACTACCTAAGCAGGGATCGAGTGGTACAACAGCTGGAGGAGCTTGGCTGTCCGGAAATTACTCTTTGGCGGAGTTATTTTTCGGACAGAAAGGCCTCTCTTATCGGCATGAATGGAAGTGTGGAGATTGGAGTGGTTCGTGGCTGCCCGCAGGGTTCCATCTGCGGTCTATATATTTGGAACCTTATGATGGACACTCTGCTTGGGCAGCTCGAGCAACTCTGTAAGCGGACGACCTAGTCGAAGGTCGCTTGCGGTCTGAGTTAGAACGGGCGGGAGGAGATCTCTTAGAAATCGTTAATACTTGGGGTGTAGGTGTGGGGGTGGACATATCGAGGGAAAAAACGGTGACAGTGCTGCTTAAGGGCAGATTGTCACCGATTCGTCCACCGATTGTACATGTGAGTGGGGCCAGCATCAACATGTGACGCAAGTCAAATATCTGGGGTTGACAACGAGTGAAAGGATGTGTTTTACTCCACACTTGGCGTATGTGAAGGAGCGACTACAGGCAACCGTAGGCAAAATACGCCGCATTTTGAGGAGCGATTAGGGTCTCGGATTTCGTGCTGTCCGCACCATATATCGTGGCTTGTTTGTGGCCTGTGCCACATATGGAGCCCCTGTATGGTGGGAGGCAGCCACGACTGTCTTGGGGTCTCAAAAACTCCTCTCAATCCAGCGTTGTATGATGCTTGCTTGTTTGCCTGTATGTCGCACCGTCTCAACGGATGCGATGCAGATTTTACTAGGGGCACCCTCTCTTGACCTGATTGTCATACAGCGTGCTGTTGCATTCACTTTAAGAAGGGGTTTGAGTGTGTCAATGCTGCGGAACGATTGGATTTCCGACGATGATGTGAAGAGGGAGGGATATCTAGGGAGCAAGAGGCTCCTAGATGATAGGGTTAGGCGTAGGTGGCAAGAACGTTGGGACAATAGAGACATTGGCCTCTGAATGCATTTTTGCATCAGAGGCACCTATCAGATGCGTCGGGGTGGTTTTGTGGGGCGGGGTCGGAAAATTGGTCGCATTTAATTGCGGAGTGCCCGATGTACTCGGACATTAGGGATCTGGGTGGTATGGGGATTGGCTGGACTGACTATTAGATGTTAGTGGTGTGATCTCCACTAGTCGGAATACCG